GTCATACTCTGTGTGTGAGGTCATACTCTGTGTGTGAGGTCAGACTCTGTGTGTGAGGTCAGACGTACCTTGCTCTGCGATTTCAATTTCTCGCCGGCCAAACTCCGCCTGTTTGATGTTCTTTACGCAGAAGTCGGTGCTGCCGTGGGTGTTGACCTGGGCTTTGTCCCGGGGGGAGGTTTCATCATCCGAGCTGTCGGTGTAAGATGCAGCTAGGAAAAGAAGAACACAAAAAAATCACTTTGGTGCCAAAATGCAGGAGGGAACCAATTATCAAAATACATCAAATTTACTGTGTGAAAGTTTGAGCTTGTACTTCCTGTACCTGTGTAACCATGTGCATTCATCCTCTACATATCAACTTGCATTTATGGTTAGGCATGATAAAACAATTACATGTGCACCTTTAAAGTATGCACCTAAAGTTAATCAATGAGTCGGCATTTGAGTAAAAAAAAGCTAATTCACCTGAGCTGTAGCTGTCTGTGGATGACTGCGAGATGGACCTGGAGAGAGAGCGGCGGCCCGCTTTAGTCGGAAACTTGCTAAACTCCTGTTTGTCCTCCGCATTTGCAAACTGAATCTGAAGGAAACAAGATGAAATAAAACAGATTTACAGCCAAACAATCCTCAAATTTAGTAATTAAAAAATCTTGGTGTTTGGATTTTGGAATCAGTTTGAACAAATTAAGGAACATCAGTGAAACCGAGAGGACGGGAACAAAAAACATCATCGGCATCATCATGCATCAACAGTGATGATGCTCTGTATGCTTACATAATGGGTTCGTACTCTGATTATATCATTTAGGCTCTTTGTGCTGTTTTAGGCACAGAACTGTCCTTTCAAAGAAAAAGGAAATCAGCTTGTTTTAGGAAAACACAGGTGGAACAGGAAGCGGAGAGCTGGAGATTATTTTTAGATGTTCTCTCCTGTTCTGTGATTTATGCTTTGTTCAAGGCTTGAGTTGTTGTTAGATGTGATTTACTGTATTAACCAAACCCTTCAAAGAGCCCATGATCAAAGACCTGGAAACACATGAAATGCATCAGAAAACGGGTCTGCTTGCTAGCCTAGCATTTCATACAAATCTTTAAACTTCAAAATCTGGAGTGTCAAAACTTAAAATCTGTGGATAAATACAATGGGTACTGAGACATGTAAGGCAGTTATTCAACATTTAAATAAACATATGCACATCAGTGGGACAGATGATGGCGAAACAAGTTCCCCTGAGGCAAACTGTATCATACCGTTACCTGAAGCCTGATCAGGTGCAGCAAAGATATCAAAAAGTCCATCTTTCCAAGAATTCCTCCTCTCATCTTGGTGGCTTAGAGTCAAAATCCCTGATCAGACTTTGATGTTGTGCCTCCGTCTTCCAAACTGTTTCATGTCATAACAATGTCTACTGGAATGTACTCATGCTTGCTGCCTGCAGAATACCTTGCAGCATTTCCCTAAATTATTTTGCTCTTTTGGTCTTTTCACATTTCTCATCATGAGTTTTTCCTCCACAGAAGAGATAAAAAAAGCTACTAGTCCATCATTAAGGATCCACACGCAGTTGACATGTCTTCATTCATTGCAACAGTGCTGTCACATTCCCCCCGTCCCTTATTTTCATCGTCCACATGTATTTGGAGTGCAAACTATCAAGCAGGACAACAGAGTTGACACAACACACAGGAAATGAATTAAGATCCACACAGTGTTAGACCAACAACAAGGTGGGTAAGATTTGATCATCACTGTAGCACATATACAGCCCAGGATATATCATATGACACATGAAGTTTAGTACGTCAATCTCTGCATGTTTTAATCCCACAGTCTTAATTTCAATAAGCATTGATACTTAAAGTTTTACTGTGAGAGCAAAAAGTAACTCAAGAAGCTTGGGAGTCAGAATGAGCCCAGCACGCCTGTTTTAACAACTGAAGTGTGGAACCGGTCTCAAAACAGAACATCTAGTTTTACTTTGCATCAGTTTATTCAGATAACAGCAGACAATTTGGAGTCTGCACTTTCTTTTATCAGTTTATGAATACATAAAAGAAGTGGCGCTTCTCTTCAGGCTACAACATTGAATAAAACATTAGCTCGATCTAATTAACGATGAATTACTCCTTATTACAGAAGACTGCAAAATATTCCTGCTACTTTTACACAGAACCCTCTGGAACTGTTTGAATGGCCTTTGTTGGGTGAGATGAAACGAAGCCTCAGATAACTTTAAGATAACTTTACCTGAAGTTTCTTTTGGGTAACTCAAAGATATCAGGAAAAAAGAAGATAGAAAACTCATAACAAGTCATAAGTTAACTCAACTGATCCATGTTCGGGATATCCAGTAACGTGTACATCAGGAGGAACTCACCCGTTCTCTAGCGTGTCCATGTTTGTGTGCCATAACTGCCTGCTGCCGCCCGCCGCTTTCTCCAGCTTTCCAGCCTTCCTCTCTGAGCCTCTGTGTCCTCTGTGTGATGGTACCAGGTGTCCCTGATGCTATTATCCCTGGACACTCCCAGGCAGAGCAGGGGGAGGTTCCCACCTATTACTGTGATTTCTAATGGCCAACTTGAACTGAAATGAAGGGAGGAAGAAAAGAGGCCGGCGTAGAAAAACTCAGCTTTAACGCTCTTTCAGTGTCTCTCAGTCTGCCCTTAACAACCAGAAGCTCAAGTCCTTATGGTGATTCTTTTAGCGCACAAAGAGCAGGGGGCAAACGAGAAATTAAAGAAAATCCTATCTACACACAAGCACGAAACACACTTACTTCCTTATATTTTCAGTGCGAGTTTCTAATTTGGAGCACTAAATGCAAAGGGATTGGCAGGAGGAATTAAACCCCGTCTTCATTAGCCTTCAGCTGCATCTTTAGGCATCCCTGTAGTTCCTGCAGCTAAAAATACTCTTTCTCTGGCAGATAGCACCAGGTCACGCACTTAAGCTGCAGAGTGTGTGACTGTCGGTCAGTGGCGTAAAAAGGCTCAGTGTGGCTCTGACATAAGGCAACACCAACTACTTAACCAGACACCACTAGAGCTCTAATGCACCATCTAGCTGATGTAATCCATGCAGATCTTTAGTGCCGACTACTCAAAGTGCATTTAGCACGTCAAAGACACAGTCAGAAGCATCAACAATGCAAGATTCAAGGTGAGCAAAAGAAAGAGATATTGCTCCAAAATCTGTGCACATCTCTTCGTCTGTAGATGCCAGTTTAATCAATGGTTATTCCAGTGTTCTGGAAAAATAAAATACTGTATGCTAATCACACTTTCCTTCAAGTCTGTGACCTCTAATTGAAAATATAACTTCTGCTGATTATCAAGGTAACACACTATAGCCATACTTCATAATGAAACACAATACGAAGCCAATGACTAGCCGATTGTCTTACGTAACAAACAATATCAAATGAAAAAGTGCTCATGACAAATGTCTTTACCTCATTATGATGTGATAAACAAGAGCACCTCAATGCGTGTGTAGAGGATGCCCACACCCGGCTCACACTGCGATTTTTGTCCTTTACAAACAAACCATGCATGGCACACTGCTAAAGATTGAGATCCTAAAATCTTGATAGAGACCCATGTCACACTGAAGGATGCAAGATTTAACAGATGCCGAACTGTACAATTTTTGCTGCATGAGAATCAAGTCCCAGTACATCACAAAGCTCTAACAGAGATATCAGTCCAACATTAAAAGGAAATTAAATGTACGCTGTATGAAAGTCAAACACTAAACAGAGGGGGAGGCAGATGAGGAAAAGGAGAGTGGGGAAAAAACCATGCTTGTAGCAGTGTCACACTGTAAGACTTTCTTAGAAAATGGGACCTGCTGTGTGTTGACAAAATGAGTCACAATGGGAATTCTTTAAATATTGAGTTCATGTAATTTTCAAATTCTTCATCTAAAAAGCTTCAAAACGACGAGTAGTTTGTTGAAATTTGCCAAATTATCACCTGGATAACAACAAGATAGTTATGTTTAAGAGAGTGCCAGTTTGAAAACTCATTTTGTTGTATTGGTCTGGAGTGATGTCATCAGGATTTCTAGCCCTAAAGTTAAAAAGAAAAATCCCCAAACTTCATAAACATTATACAAAGGGATTTCCTAGCTGTATGCGAGGGTAAGGGTTATAGTATAGGCTATTTTACACCCCTGAGTAGTTTGGCCTAGGACAGTTTATCCCTCTGGCCCGGGTTTAATCTGGGTAGAGGCTGATTTGGCCATTTACACTTTATTATTTCCCATTACTGGGTGAAACGGTAGGAATCTTTGATTCATACAACAAGAAACAGTGGGACAGAAGAAAAGGATGAGTTGTATTTCTCAGTATGGTGACTCTTCTGCCTATTTGAACAACTTGTACAAACACAGCACCTAAATCATGTGAACTACTTGGACTTTTAGGAAGCTCAAGAAAGAAACTTGACATTTATTTATAGAGCTAGTTGGACCAAAAGCACCACAGTAAAATAGTTTTTTCCCACAGAGGCGCATAAGAAGTATTACATAAGAGCTTGATAGCAATAATTTATGGAGCCCTATTATATAACAGATAAACAAAACATGTTTTACTATAATTTTGTGATTTATACTTGTCTAAATTAATCTAGACCTCTAGCTGAAGGAAAACAAATACAATTATAGAAAAAATAAAAATGATATAATAAAAAAAAGAGATGATGGAAATTCTTCTGATTCTACAGCAGCTCACGCCCACAGGGATCAGGAACAAAATTACGATGCACGAACGGCTTCAAAGTGAGTAAGTCGCATTACCAGGGGGTTGAATTGCATAACTGCTGAATAAATTCAGAGAGCTGCAGCAGAGTGGTGGGGTTCTTTGACTCATGCACTCATTTCCAGTTTATAGCATTGATCGAGTTCACTTTACTAATTGCACATTTCGACTATGCAGCAATGCCTCAACTGTCAAAACTTCGATTCATCTGCAGTCTTTTCCTAGATATTAGCAAGTCTTATTTTATTTTTTGTTTTTTTACAAACCTTTGCAAAAACTGCTTTATTATATTTTATGCAACCAGATGTTTCAGACAAACACTAGGCTCTCCCATTTATTCATAAGAAACTGGTTTGTTTTTATAAACCCAGTGCACATTCCTGTCATCTAATATGTTTTCAAACAGGCTCCCTGAGGCGGCTCGCAGTCGGCACGTTATTGCCACTCAGACAAGAGGACGGAGGTTTTTAAGCCCCGCTGCTGGGAAAGCGCATAGCTCTAGTGTTTTTGGTCCACTTTATGTTGACATGTTTGAAGAAATGAAATTACAAATACAAAAGGAAGATGAGCACAATATGTTGTTCACATACAAGAATATGTTGTTTGTGAAGGTGGGGCAATTTCTAAGGAACAATGCAATATAATAACCATGAATATAATTTAATTAGTGTAAATAGAATTGTTGTAAAAATATAGTTTTTGATTACATTTTATTAATCTCTTTTTATATTGAGTGTGTGTGGCTTTTCCCTCTTCAGGGGTCGCCACAGCGAGTCATCCTCCATCTCACTCTGTCCTCACTCTATCTACCTTCATGTCC